TACCACAATCGATAACAGCCACAAGGGCCTGCCTTAAGAAGGTGTATTCTCTCCTCTTTTACGGAATAAAAAGGAATGGTATTGTGGGCGGCCGGAAAAGCTAAAAACAATTTTTCCAAGAACTGAGACAGTACTGCTTATTCTACCTAAGGCCTAGAGACAGGATTTAGAGCAAAGTAGGGATATCCGAAAAAATAGATATATCGAAAAATTTTCCCTCGATGTATCAAAAAATATCGATGTACCTTTCGATGAATCGGATCAATGAAATATATCGATATATTTTTGCCAATGACATCCCTAAAGGAAAGGGAGAAATAAGTGGGGTGGGAATACATTGTCCCTCTGCAAACTTACCAGACTCCTTTATGAATCTTACAATACATCCGACAAAAAATGTACAATCTAAGTCCGGCGAAGGTCGGACAGCGACAGAGAAAACGTTCTGCACTATCCTCGTTCTGTACCCAGTGGATCGTCGATGATGCCTATGATCAGAGGTGGGCACTACCACAAACAAGCGTTCGCTAGAAGTGAGAATGTGTTAGTGTGCCTAATTAATTTTGCATGCTGTCGCGTTCTCATCGTTACGCGCTTGCTTGTATACGTACACGCGATGTTTACGCTCTTTGAGCGTGTGCTCGTTCTCTGCCCATGCCTGCCTATGATGAACATATGCCATTCCCATGGATTGTGCCCCGAAATCAATCCTATCAGGGCTCCCTTCTTGGTCTGAGAAGGAATTTTCAGGCAACACTAGGTTGTTTGATAAAACAATCAACTGGAATGCACATATGGATGCAATGAAGGCTTTCCTTGTCTGTTCATGATTTTTTGATAAAACATGGAGCCTTACCCTCAAAATGACCTATTGGTCATTCAGCATTGTCGTTAAGTCAATAATGTCTTATTTTTCCTTAGCATAGTGGACTAAGGCTACATCAAGAATCGCAAGTACTAAACTAAGTAAAGCCAAATGGTAGCTTCATCACCATGTTCCAAACGGAGATTCAGCCAATGGAAATATGCGGCAGATAATGCCTTGGCCCTACTAAAAAGAAGTCCTGCATAATAACTTGAAATGGCCGAGCAGTCGAAATGGCCTTAGATCCTAGGTGTCCTGAAAACATAGCGCTAGTTAAAATCTACCAGTACAGAACTACAAAATACGTCTATGCAAAATAGGGATAAGTTAGAAGTGTACAACCATTACATTAGTTTGGAGGATACACCCCAGTTTCTTCCAAAGGAAAAGCCTTCAAAAACTTTACGGATGGGTTAAAAAACAGCATGCCACTGGGACGGGAATATTTGTTGAGCAGGATAACATCAAATTTTTGAATTCCTTATTGTACTTGCATTTATATTGGGTTAAGACACTATTATACATTGTTTTGTTGGAAACTAGTACTGCTGGTCTTCGACCCCTCTATGAAATTCTCCACTTTTCGAAAGGTGTGATCGATGTCAATAAATTAACGCAGACTTCTGACCTTAAGCACAATGGACAAACTATGTCGTTCTGATGTAGGTGTTTACGACCTCCTTTAAGCCACAAACTTAACAAAATGTAAGCGCATTCCTTTAGTTATTAAAGTTTAATGCGTAATGGCGTGACAGATCAGAGAGATTCAAAGAAGTCCCTAAAATACGAACATTCACTTTTACTATGACTTGAACTCTTTTGGTAGTAATTTTGGTTGGCAAATATTTTCCGAGTGGCAACACTTTTTCTATCTAGCAATGCTATCGGTAAGTATTGAGCATTCATCAAGTATTTAGAGATTGTGTGTAGGAATTCGTGATTTCTTTACAATCAGTATAAATTGGTTGTTACATAAAAAAGAAAATTTATATGGCACCAAAAAAATTTCTACATTCCGGAAATTCCCACAACTCGTATTCCAATCGTGTGAATGCACAAATATTTATCTTTATCACAATCATGAAAAACAATTTGTTAAAATTTTTCAATAGAAGCTCACTATATTGTACCAATATAAAATATAAGTAAATGTACCAATCGGGTGACAATTAAAAATTGATTGATCCATACCATTTACACATTTTTCCTAATTTAATTTTGAATTTTTAATTTTATTGGTTGAAAAGAATTGTTGCTTATGTGTTTGGACATCACAACCTAATTGGGCCTATTTGGTATTAATTGTTGGCATACACGCAGCGGAGGCCGATACATATTAACAAATGTTTCCAAAGTTATGCTACATCTATGCTTTACGAAAATACAGTGAGACCTCTTAAGTAAGACCCCGCTTAAGCAATGAATCCGCTGTGTCACCATGGTTTTTTGTTTTAAGTACATTCTGCTTAACTCTGCAACATGCTTTACCACCTACGCTTTTCATATTCCAATTACAAGCTCAACTACGATTTTTCTCAATTAAGTGGCTTTTAAGAGTTTCTACGAAAATGCTTCTTTATATACTTGAAAAAAAAAAACAAATATGTACAAAACAAACGTAAATAGCTAAGGAGCTAAGAACCTCAGAAAGTTGGCATTTTCGAGTGAGGTACCTAAGCGCGTTTTACTGTATTCGAATGATTAATTATGTGCTTATATTGTCGTGTTTCGGTTGAGTACGAACGTGTTCTTTATTCCATAAAAAATCATATTTATCGTGTAACTAAAAACCATCGAAAGACAAACTAAATATTATTCGAGTTTTGTAAAGCAAAAAATGCAAGACGGGGTTACATGACAAAATATTTAATCCCGATCCCGCACATCCCGAGGTTTTATTGGGAGTGTTGGGAATGGATTTTGGTACCGTCCCGCCCGCCCGCCATATTTTTATAGATCTTCCCGTTTCCGCCCATCCCGGCCAATTTCAAATTAGTACCGTAGGCCCCGCGGAACTCGCTATCCCGCGCCCACTTCTATGGTACACGATTGGGTATTTGCCAAAATTTGGTGAAAATCGTATCCCAATAATGTGAATACACGAAAAATAATTTGTTGAAATTTTTCATAAGAAAACCAAAGTTCAAAAAATGTTGACTTAATTGTGGATTTCGCCAGAATATCTATATGGAGTGAAAAAGTTGTGGAACAAATGTTGTTAACGAAGCGATATTCTGCCTAAATCCGCAACAAAATCTGCGTTTTGCTAACTTTTGTCCAACAATTGCCACATCCATTTCTGGGCGTTTGTCGCCTTAAAGAAAAATCTTGACGTACAAATATTATACCTGGGGAGTTACTCTATAAGTAATACACATGACTGATTGCCTATCGTATCGCATTGCTCTGTAGTATCGCATTACCCCTGCATAGGCATTCTATCGGAATCTGCGATAAAATTTAAATTCTTGCAAAAACCCAAGGTTTCACTCCTTGCAAAATTACAAAAAAATGTTGTAAAGAAAAATATTTTTTTTATAGAACCCATAAAAAAAAATTTTTAGCCATTCGGAGACATTACATTATATATTTTTTACGAAATCCGTCCGACTTAAAAAAGAATGGCCCACATACATGGTAGATGTTATTACATATTTCCTTATATGTAATTGATTTTTGTCAGGGATGTAATGCTAAGTTTAGGCCTATATTTTTGGCTCATCACTCACTGCCGATAAACATACATATGTACATATGTTACGCACAAACTACATAAGTAGGTCGTGGAGGCATTTTCTTCCGGCGTTGCGGCAGGAGTGCTTGAGGCGATTTGCATTTGAGCATTCGTTAGACTGCTTGTCTACTTGTTGACTGAAATTTCATAGCTCATTACCAAGGCTTAATAAAGTTTCCACATAAGCGGACTAAGCAAATCCAACAGAAATCACTTGTCCCCTTTCATTTGTTTTAATTTCCACATACATGCATATGTACAAAATTTCACATGAACGGTGAAAAATGCCAATGTGGCTCGTGATGATTGTACAGATTTAACGATTTTCGGTTACCCAGTAATAATCGCAACAAATTCAAATGCGAGTTTCCTATACGCATGAATATGTATGTATGCATGTGTATCTATGCAGATACATATGTATATGTATGTTACGTATTGCACTTGAATCTAACTTTAAGCATGACTTTGATTAAAAACCACTTTAGCTTAGGCTTCAGCTTCACCATCTTTATCATCGACATCAACATCTTCAACTTAATCCCATGCGGCACATTTCCTCTTGTAAAACAAGTTATTATGAGACTGTTGCAACACGCTTATAGTTGCAACTTTACTACTGACATAATCTAGCATGATTTGAACCAGTTTCGCCCAAAATTAACATCGCAGAGTTCATCAGAAAATACAAAAAGAAGCTAAAGCGTCAAATGAAAATAAAAAAAGACAAACAAAGAGTCTCTGCTGGCGGATTTAGCTTGACCATTTTTTGTTGTTTATTGCGTTTCTTTCTTTTCTGCTACACATAATCTTCGTGGTCACTTTTGCGTCTATGCATTTCAAATGCCGTCTAATCAACAAATTTATTTTAAACGACGGGTCGCATGCAGCCAACACTTTCGTTTTCATTTTTTTTCCCCNTAGCATGATTTGAACCAGTTTCGCCCAAAATTAACATCGCAGAGTTCATCTGAAAATACAAAAAGAAGCTAAAGCGTCAAATGAAAATAAAAAAAGACAAACAAAGAGTCTCTGCTGGCGGATTTGGCTTGACCATTTTTTGGTTGTTTATCGTGTTTCTTTCTTTTCTGCTACACATAATCTTCGCGGTCACTTTTGCGTCTATGCATTTCAAATGCCGTCTAATCAACAAATTTGTTTTAAACGACGGGTCGCATGCAGCCAACACTTTCGTTTTCATTTTTTTTTTTCTCATAGCTTTTAGCGTCTTTGGGGAGCGCAGCTATGGGCACCACTGCACAGTACTGCACGTTGATGGTATATAAAGTTGGTGGATGACACTGGAAAGTCATCAGTTAGTCAGTTCTCTTCGCAACTGGTGTTTGGTTAACTTCGTCTACTAACTTACACGTAGCACATTTAAGCGTAACCTACAACAAAATGAAGGTATAGCATCACACAGAAATCCTTTTAAGCAGACTTAAAAACGCTCAACGTTGAAGGACTACTACTTAATCACCGTTTTCCTGTTTTTTTTTCTTCTAGATTTTCGTTTGCATGTTAGCAGTGGTGGCCACAGCCCAAGCGGGTTTCCTGGGCGNACGCTCAACGTTGAAGGACTACTACTTAATCACCGTTTTCCTGTTTTTTTCTTCTAGATTTTCGTTTGCATGTTAGCAGTGGTGGCCACAGCCCAAGCGGGTTTCCTGGGCATCGGTGGAGGCGGCAGCGGCGGCGGTGGTGGTGGTTACTCATATGGAGGTGGTGACCATGGTCATGGTGGACACGGCGGCGGAGGTCATGGCGGTGGTCACGGTGGTGACGTGAAAATCATCAAGGTCATTAGTGAAGGCGGAGATGGCGGCCATGGCGGTCATGGAGGTCATGGCGGTTTTGATGGTGGTTACGGTGGCGGTCATGGCGGTTATGGCGGCGGTGGTTTCGATGCCTATGGCAGCGGTGGCGAAATTAAAATCGTTAAAGTCATTAGCGGCGGAGGCGGCGGTGGCGGCGGTGGTGGCCACGGTGGACATGGCGGACACGGTGGATACATCGGCGGCGGTCATGGCGGCGGCGGCGGCGGCGGTCATGGCGGTGATGTCAAAATCATCAAAGTTGTGCATGAGGATGGCGGCTATGGTGGCGGTTACGGTGGCGGTCATGGAGGTTATGGCGGCGGTGGCTTTGATGACGGCTTCATTGGCGGCGGTCACGGTGGTCATGGTGATCACGGTGGTGCTGGCGGCGAAGTGAAAATCATCAAGGTCATCAGTGAAGGTGGCGCAGGCGGCCATGGTGGCAGTTATGGTGGCGGCTATGGTGGTGGTGGCGGCGGTGGCTGGGTGTCCGGCGGCAGCGCTGGCTGGGATTAAGTGCACCAAGTGCCATACATCATTTGTACATATTGTACTAACCGCAAGCGGCGGAGTGAGCCTATCTAATTTGGTGTCTGCGCGTACAGCCATTTACAAACAATTGACTGAGACTGAATAATGCCTGGCGTGTACTCTGCACATTTCATAGTTTACTTGTCTCGCTTCCTTCGCTTCGACCTACTTTTACTAATTCTCCCACACATCTGAAAAGGTGCCAGGGACACTTAAGATGGTGTTCCGTTAGTTGCGTGTGATGTGCCTTTCATCGCCGTCTTTTCACAAGCACCTACATATTTGCCAAAACTACTCACAATGTGATATCCAAACATACATATGTAAATACATAATCACATCTTTCTAGCCGTCTAAGTGTAAACGTTTAATTAAAATTTTGTTGTAATGTACCTGTTGAGCAACAACGTGAGTTCGTAGACGTTGTTAATGTTGTTATTGTTTTTATTGGTAAAAATATAACAAGATGAAAATAAAAATTGAAAAAAAAATTATATATATATAAAACTGTATTGTTATCACTCATTGGCGATTATGCTTAGCCACAAAACGCTTACAAAGCGCGCAGTTGCGGAAGTGCCTTGGAGATTTTTTCAAATTGGCCCATAAATACAATTTATGGTTGCAAATTATTTTCAGCTAACTTTATCAAAAAATCAACATACATACATACATTTCTTTGGGGGAAGTGTGAACCTTTCACTTTTTATGAGGAACTTAACAAAAAAGCCAAAAGGCGAAATTTGTTATGTCATAAGCTGGGGAGATATTTAACAATTATTAAACAATGTTGTTTTTTGATGTATATGTATGTATATATAGTATGTATGTATATACATAGGTTAGGGTGATCCTTAAAAAAGTCAAATGAACGATTTTTTCAGTCTCAACCACTCAATCGGTAATACCACGATCACAGATATCACACTTAAATTTTGGTTCCGATTGGAGACGCTTAAGGCGTGTCGCACAGTTTAGATTTTTCTGTAGAGACTCAAAAAATTAAAATTAAGTTTTTTTNGGAGATATTTAACAATTATTAAACAATGTTGTTTTTTGATGTATATGTATATATAGTATGTATGTATATAGGTTAGGGTGATCCTTAAAAAAAATCAAATGAACGATTTTTTCAGTCTAAACCACTCAATCGGTAATACCACGATCACAGATATCACACTTAAATTTTAGTTCCGATTGGAGACGCGTAATGGTCTGATTATGCATACTTCGCATAACTTCGCACAACTTCGCATAAACTTCAAACTGTAATTTCGTATGTACTTTGTGCCTAATTTGTATGTATTCCATTACCCAGAAATTAGCAGAACTTTTAAAAACTTAGGTATCTGTTGAGTTTAGATTTTGCTTCACGTTTTCTTAAGTTACATTTTTATTGCACTGGTACAAATGGCTGTGCGAAGTTATGCGAAGTATGCATAATCAGACCCTTAGGCGTGTCGCACAGATTTTTCTGTAGAGACTCAAAAAATTAAAATTAAGGTTTTTTTATCTAATACCCAAAATCGATACTACCATAGTCGAAGAATTTATATGTGATAATTATGGTCACGACTGGAGTCGGTTAAGGCGTGTCGCAAAGGCGTGCCTCTCTGGCGACTCAAAAAATTAAAAATATTTTTTTCATTTAACACCAAAATCGATACCACTAAAGTCGAAAGTATCACATGTAAATTTTTTTGCCGATTGCAATNATCTAATACCCAAAATCGATACTACCATAGTCGAAGAATTTATATGTGATAATTATGNCTTTGTGCCTAATTTGCATGTATTCCATTACCCAGAAATTAGCAGAACTTTTAAAAACTTAGGTATCTGTAGAGTTTAGATTTTGCTTCACGTTTTCTTAAGTTACATTTTTATTGCACTGGTACAAATGGCTGTGCGAAGTTATGCGAAGTATGCATAATCAGACCCTTAGGCGTGTCGCACAGATTTTTCTGTAGAGACTCAAAAAATTAAAATTAAGTTTTTTTATCTAATACCCAAAATCGATACTACCATAGTCGAAGAATTTATATGTGATAATTATGGTCACGACTGGAGTCGGTTAAGGCGTGTCGCAAAGGCGTGCCTCTCTGGAGACTCAAAAAATTAAAAATATTTTTTTCATTTAACACCAAAATCGATACTACGGAAGTCGAAAGTATCACATGTAAATTTTTTTGCCGATTGCAATTTTAATTTTTTGAGTCTCCATAGAGGATTCAAAACTTTGCAACCTGTGCGACATGACTTAGCCGTCTCCATTCGGGGCCAAAATTTATATGTGATATCTTCGACTATAGTAGCAGCAACGGAGGGGTTGATGCTTAGGATCTGGTGTAAAAATTTGCTTCCTACACTTAAGGACTACCCTAATATATATACATATATATGTATATCAGAGAGGTCTAGGTTTTTTATGAAAAATGTCATCGTAGAAAACGGTGGGGGANCTAATATATATACATATATATGTATATCAGAGAGGTCTAGGTTTTTTATGGGGAAAAATGTCATCGTAGAAAACGGTGGGGGACCCTTGCTTTTTTCTCTTTGGTATTTGTAATATCTGTACCGACTTTCAATTTTCTGCTCTAACCAACACCGGATGCTTAATGACCTTGAAATGCGCAACGGAATCTCATTGAAACTGACAAAAATATTGATGGCTGAAAGCTAGTGTTGCCATGACAACAGCAGCTGGAAATATTTTTTCATCTAATTTAAATTTGAAATAGTCTTAGGTTGCTTAACCAATCGTTTAGTCCATATATGTACAATATACTCCTTGAGTAAAATATAAACATTTCAGGAGCATCCTCTTAATTTATACTTAGAAACGTAAAATTGTCGAAGGTGCATCCAACCTTATCTCGGAANTGTACAATATACTCCTTGAGTAAAATATAAACATTTCAGGAGCATCCTCTAAATTTATACTTAGAAACGTAAAATTGTCGAAGGTGCATCCAACCTTATCTCGGAATTTTTTTTTGTACGACTCTAATGTACATATTTAGATATGAATACCTAATATTTGATTCCATAATTTGATATAAAACAATACTTGTGTGTAGAGAAGTCGTAAAATAAAAGCAGCGTTTCCGTAATTTTTTTAACAAAGACTTAAATGCTATATAAAAGCAAAACTAATATGAATAACAAGCTATGAAATCAAGGAAATCTAAGATATTTTATAAAATTTAAGAATACTTTACATAAAGCAAAGAAGAGTTAAGCTGAAAGTATGTTTTTATATATTAGACAGATTGGGCACAGCGATGCTTTTGGATGGAATCGTATAATCGCTCACGCAAGGCAAGGGTTGGAGCCTTGCGGCGTCTACTACAGTTGTAACATGAAGAGTGCGAATTCGGTGTTTGATTTGTGGTGGGAGAGAGACTCCGTTGCTGAGTACTGTCGATGAGGAGTGTCAAGAT